TTCAGAATTCAAGTTATCTGCATGTGTTATTTGAATCATTCCTGTAATTATACATTTTTGAGCTAAAAGAGACTCTAGAGATCATTTTAGTCTATTGTAATTAAACAGAAAACTAAGGCCCTGGGCTGAGGGCACACCTGTAATCCCAGCACTCTGGGAGGCTGAGGCAGGTGGATTACTTGAGCTCAGGAGTTTAAGACCAGCCTGAGCAAGAGTGAGACCCCGGCTCCACTAAAAATAGAAAAAGTAGATGGGACTACAGGCGCCCGCCACAACCCCCAGCTAGTTTTCAGTTGTAGTTGTCACTGTTGTTTGGCAGGCCTGGGCTGGACTCAAACCTGCCAGCTCTGGTGTATGTGGCTGGCGCCTTAGCTGCTTGAGCTACAGGTGCTGAGCCGAAACTCTGGTTTTCTGTTGCAGTTTGGCCGGGGCTGGGTTTGAACCCACCACCCTCAGTATATGGGACCGACGCCTTACCCACTGAGCCACAGGCATTGCTCTGAAACTCTGGTTTTCTTATCTATAAAAATGGAGGTGATAATGATAGTGCCTTCCCACTGGTTTGTTGTGAGGATTAAATAAGGTAATGTATATCTTCTCTCCACGACTTTCTAGCCCCAATTTACAGCTCAAGGGACATCTAATTAGGATATGAGAAGGCCTCTTAAGGGAAGTGATGAGTAGACTCTTGAAGGATATTATTCAACTCAAGAAAGCATTTTAGGCAGAGGAATGCAGTGCTATGTCCTAGAGATAGCATATTAGCAGTTAGAATAGTGAATAATAGTTCAGGATAGTGGGAACATTTTATTAATTTATTTTGAGAAAGAATCTTGCTTTGTTGCCCAGACAAGAGTTCAGTTGTGCCACCATAGATCACTGCAACACCAAATTCCTGGGCTCAAACAAACTATCTTCTTGCCTCAGTCTCCTGAAAAGCTGGGGCTACAGGCAGATGCCACCATAACCAGCTAATTTTTCTTTCTGTTTTGTACAGACAGGGCCTTGTTCTTGCTCAGAGTGGTCTTGAACTCCTGAGCTCAATTAGTCCTCCTGCTTCAGCCTCCCAGAGTGCTAGGAGCCACCATGTCTGGGCTGGTGGGAATATTCTAAATAAGATCATGGAAGAGTTTTGAGCATATTCAGCTTTTAGAAATTGCATTTTTAGAAGATTAAAACCATCTTGGTACAGAGAATGGAGTACACTTACGGGGGAGATTGGCAAGGAGAATAGTTGGAAGGCAATTACAGTACCCCGGGTAAGAAACTATGAGGTATGAATTACTACTGCAGAGGCAGTGGGGATCAAGGCAGGGACAGAGAGAAACGTCCAAGAGTCAAAGCCACAGAATCTGCAATATCTACAATTGTTCTAAGCATTAAGCATTGACTTTTTATTTTTCTGCCACTGACAAGTGTTAAAAGTGTTATTTTTCTTTTTCTTTGATAAAGTTTTAAAAATGAAAAACTATGTTTTGCAGTATCTACTAAGATGCTTTACTGTTGAATAAACTTGATGTCAAGGTAAGCCCATGCAGGTGTATGTGTATGTGTGAAACCTGAAGAATTTGAGGAGTGAAACCTATTAGCATGAGACCATGGGTACATATCTGGAATAAAAAGAATACAGCCAGGATCTCTTAAGATTTCTATGTGCTGGATGGGCCTGGTAGCTTATGCCTGTATTCCTAGTACTCTGGGAGGCTGAGGCTGGTGGATTGCTTGAGCTCAGGAATTTGAGACCAGCCTGAGCAAGAGCAAGACCCCATCTCTAAAAAAAGATAGCCAGGCTGGCGGCACCTGTGGCTCAATGGGTAGGGCACCGGCCCCATACACAGAGGGTGGTGGGTTCAAACCAGGCCCCAGCCAAACAGCAACAAAAAATAGCTGGGCCTTGTGGCGGATGCCTGTAGTCCCAGCTACTCAGTAGGCTGAGATGAGAAAATCATCTAAGCCCAAGAGGTGGAGGTTGGGCTGTGAGCTATGATGCTACAGCACTCTACTGAGAGCGACAAAGTGAGATTCTGTCACTAAAACAAAAAATAAAATAAAATAAAAAATAAAAAAAAATAGCCGAGTGTTATAGCAGATGCCTGTAGTCCCAGCTACTTGGGAGGCTGAGGCAAGAGGATCTCCTGAGCCCAAGAGTTTGAGGTTGCTGTGAGCTATGATGCCACAGCTCTCTAAGGGCGATAGAGTGAGACTTTGTCTCAAAAAATAAATAAATAAAAGATTTCTATGTGCTGATGAAAGGGGAAGGAGGAGAAATACAATTTATGGCAGAGGTGGAGGCACGTGTGAGAATGGGGTGGTGGCAGATACAAAATACTATAAAAATACCACCTTTATATTTAACTACTATTTTGTAAGAAGTTAGTGCATTGAAGCAGATGTGAAATGATATCATGAGGATGCAATTTGTCAAGTCCAGACCATAGAAAATTCTACACTACAGATATAATCTGATTTTTTCAACAAATGAACATAAAACATTACAAAAGTAAAAAAAAAAAAAGAAGAAGAAAGAAAAAGGGAAATAAAAAAACAAAAAAGGAAGGGCGACTGTTTCACATAAAAAGAGATTTATGGGACATATTTATTAATCGAATGCAAAGTGTGGCACTTGTTCAGATCCTTATTTAGATAAATGAACTGTAAAAGGCATTTTGGAAACTAGTGGAAAAAAATTAACATAGACTGGGTATTAAATGATATTAAGAAAATTATTCTTAATTAAGAAAAATATGGTCCTGATAGTGTGGTAGTTATAATAAAAGTCTTTGGTATAGATACATACTGAAATATTTATGGGCAAAACATAATGATGGGTTACTAGAGGTTTATTTAAAAGTTCAAGGTGGAGAAAAAGGCTTGTGGAAAAAGAGGTGAAATAAGAATGATAAAGTGTTGATAATAGTTGAAACTGGGTGATAGACACATGGAAATTTATTATTCTATTGTATGCCTTTTGTGTATGTTTAAATTTTTCCACAAAGAAATCAAAAAGTAATGCTATAAGAAAAACCTGAATCTTTTTCCATTCCCAAATGTATGGAATAACTAGAAGAGAGAACATTCTTGCTGTTAACACTTTCAGGAGGAAGGAACAGAATGGGAGAGGCATCTTTTAAGGATGAGTGGAGGAAGAAGGGCCCTGCTCGTACAGGAAGGTAGAAAGAAAACTTGTAAGTGGTGTTGAAAAAGCCAAGAAGGTAGACCGTTTTAAGATGAAAGGAGTGTCAATTATGTCCAATGCTGTAGATGACAGGAAGGAAAAGCATTAAATGACTTCAGTAGACATAGCAACCAGGTCACTCTTAACCTTGGGGAGATCAATTTCAGTGGAGGTAAGAAGACAGAAAACTTTTCCAAGAAGCTGGCTGTGAGGAGGAGAAATGAAGATAGCAATCTTTCTTGTCCCCTCCCCCCCGAGAGGAAGAAACTAAGGCATGTTTTTTATACTGAGGGTAAGTTCACATTTGACGGCGCTTAACATCATAAGTGGAAAGAGGAATGACTGAGTCACAGAGGAAGGACCCTTACTGCAAGAGGTAGTATGGAGAATAAGTCATGTGTACACCCCACTGAAGCAGGTAGCTTGTTTTTCTGATCCCAAGGTTTACTTCCTTAGTTTCCTGTTAACAACCAATCACTGACCCAAAGTCAAGTTTTACTCTTAAAACTCACACACCAGGTGCATTTTGGGGAGCTGAAAAATTACGACAGTTTGAGTCCGCTTTAGGCACGCTTTTAGCTTCTTAAGAACTACTTAAGTTTTCCTTAAAAAAAAAAGTTTGGAGATGAAATAAAATAAAACTCTACCCTTTCCTTGCATAGGACCCTTAGGATTCTTTAGTTTGCTGCTCTTGTTCCAAAAACTTCTCATCACTCAATCTAAAAACTCACAAAAACTTTTCAAGTTGTTTCTTTCCTACCACCACCAACGTGTGGGGCGGCTTATATCTGTATTTCCACTTCTTACAGCCATTCCAAAAATTGCTATAAACTATTAGAACCTTAAAACGTAACTGAATACTGATTATGTTACACAGTTTACCTCTGAATACCGCAGAGGGGCTGAATTAAGATGTGTAGGAATGGGATATTCCACACTTCAGGACACAGTTATTTCGCAGTAATAGGGGGCAGATACTTTGGAGGGAAGAAGTGGGGAAAAGGAGCAGTGCATATAAGCTCTTCTTCCTCAGATTTACGAGGTGAAATAAATGCACCCGACATCCCAGCCGCATAGGAGGTCCGGGAGCTGAGCCAGGACAGGTTGGACAGGGACCACCAGCACAACGCCGCTCAGAGCAAGTATGTGCTCGCCTCTGTGAGGGCGCGCGCGCGCGCACGTAATCGTGTCTCGCGCAGGGTCGGGCCTGTCAGGCGGGAAATCTCGCGAGATCGGAGACAGGGATGACGGTCGGGAGGAGGGGAGTGGTGTTGGGGAAAGGGGGGGAACCTGGGCAGCGGCCGGGCTCTGTGGCTTCAGGGCTCGGAGAGAGAGAGGGAGGGTGGCAAAGAGAGTGAGTCGGAGCCGCCGCCTGCCTGAGGGGAGAGGAGGGGGCCCGCTCGCCCTGCGCCCTTTGCGGGCCGAGAGCACTAGGCACCCGCGAACCTCTCAGGCCTCCGGCCCCCGGGGACCCCGCCCCGCCGCCCGCCGGCCGGCCCGCGGCCTCTCTTCCCTTTGTGAGCGCCCCCTTCCCAGGGGTGGTGGTGGTGGCGGAGGGCTGCGCGTGGGCCCGCCCGCAGGGGGCCGCGGCGGGGGACCGAGAGGGCCTCGGCTGTGTGAGGACGGGAGGCGGCCGAGGCCCGGGCCGGTTCCCCCGAGGCGGCGGCAGCGGCGGCAGCTCCCGGCACTTCCCCGCGCCATCTTAGCCGATCCCAAGCGCTGAGGGCACCTCCTCGACCCCGGTCGTCCCCTCGCCCCCCCCCCCCCCCCCCACCACTCGTGGCGGAGTGTGGGGGCGGGGGTCGTGGGGGGGGGCGGCGGTCTGTCGCCTGGCCCCCTCCTCCTCACTCCTCGCCCTCGGGCGCAGCGGCCACCGGAGCGCTGCAGGGGGCTGCGCTTGCCTACTCCGCCCCAGAACTGTCGGCGAAAGGGTAAGGACACCTCTGCTTTGGGAAAGGGAGACATGGAGGGGGGCGGGGAAATTCAGCCCACTCAGGCCTCTGGGTGGAAGAAGGGATGTGGGGGTGGGGTGGGGGAGGGAGACAGGGAGGGTCTGTGATTCTGTGGGTGGGGTGAAGAAGCTGGTGTGCTGGGCGCCCTCCCTTTTTGTGGGGCAAGAGGCAATTCCATTCCTTTTTCCTGAGGGTCACCGGAAGGGGTGGTGGAAAGGGTTGTTTCGAGGAAGGTGTGGCCCTCACTGGGGGACTGGGTTGATGTGCACCCCAGTTTAAAGGCGCGAGGTCCTTTTGCTCCTCCCGCTCCTTCTCTTTTGTAGTGTCTATGTATTCTAGGGAAGGGAGACTGCTCTGGGTAGCCTGTTGGGTGGATCCTAGCCTACCTCAGGAAATCTGTGTCCCTATTCTGTTGGGATGATGGAAGCGTTTCTCTCCCCCTACCCTTCCCCCTTCCCCATCCTCTTAGTCTACTGCAATGCTGCAAAAGTCCAAGGCAGTTTCTTCATACACAGACCCATCTATACACTGGAGGGAGGGGGAGCAGGAGAGGAAAGTAATGGCGCTTCCCTTGGAAAGGTTACTCTTTTTCCTTTGGTTTTAAATCGATGACAGTTCCGTTTTAATACAATTCCCCAGAGATCTGTCCATGGGAAGTGTATTTGTTCCTGTTGTTATTGTTGGGGTATATGGCCTCTTGAGAGGGATCCCTCTCGTGTTACACCAGTTTTGATGCCTGTTTTTGAGAGAGATGTCTGAATTGACGTTTTTTGGTGAGCAGGTTGAGATTTTAGTTAGAAGTCTAATAAAATAATTTTGTACCTCTTTATTTTCCCTCTTTTTTTCCTTGCTATGACTTTTGTAGTTCCAAGAATTATTAGCGATTCTTACATGCACAGGCTGTCTGATGGCATTTCTCCCCCAATTGTGAATTTTTAAGGATAATACTATTTTGTGTGGTGTTGAAATTGGAGTTTTCTGAAATTGATAGGTTACAAGCCTTTCTCTAGTAAATGCTTTGTTTCTTATTAATCTGCCTAATTATATGATCTGTAGTTTGTAGTAATTTATGACTTCTTTTACTTTGTGTCATATTAGTTTTAAAGCAAATCATCGTATCTGGTTTACAATAGTACTTGTTGGTTTGTTCTTAGTAGATTAGAAATAAATTTTAACATTCTGGAAGTGTGTTGCCAAGTGCTTTTTTTTGAGACAAGAGTCTGACTTTGTTGCCCTCGGTAGAGTGCTGTTGCATCATAGCTCACAGCAACTTCTAGCGCTTGGGCTTAGGCGATTCTCTTGCCTCAGCCTCCCAAGTAGCTGGGACTACAGGCACCCCCCACAATGCCTGGCTATTTTTTGGTTGCAGTTTGGCAGGGGCCGGGTTTGAACCTGCCACCCTCAGTATATGGGGCCGGCACCTGCCAAGTACTTTTTGTGACCAAAGAGTAGTTTTCAAGTCTTGAAGTAGTTCTGATGTACTGTTACTACTTTTTTTTTTTAAGTGTTTAGATTTACTGGTTATGTGATTTCAAAATGTCCCATATTTGAATTTAAATAGAATTAAATAATTTTTTTCACAAAGTAATGAAGATAACTGAAATGTCTACAGATACGAATTGTCTTAATATTTTACTAATGGGTTGTATTTAGTATTTATGTTTTACTTAGTGACTTAGTTTTCAATACCTCCAAATGCTATATCTGCATTTTATGTTGTCATTAAATGTTGTCCAATAGAGCTTTTCTGGTGTATTGGTTGCATTTTGAAACTTGTTTTAAGATAAGCATTTTTTTTTTTTCTTTTTCTGCAATATGTTCCCAGAAAACTAAGTACAGGGATTTAAAGTTGTTGATAGTAGTGGTACCAGCACTAAATTTCTTATTTTATGATTTTAATTTAGGAAACACGGTATGTTAAATAAGTTTTATTATTTTTTCCTCAGAAAATGGAGTTTTCTTTGCCTTCTTTATTCTCTTTTAATGTTCATCTCTAATCGTTTAGCTTAAACACTATTCATTTGAATCTTTATTGTGTAGAATTTTCTCCTGTATGGCAAATTATGCTATGTCTAGTTCTCTAGATTATGGTTTGTTGTTGACAATTTATAAATACTAGTATGTGTAAATCCTAGCATACTGCTCAGTAAAGAATGACTGAATCTTGGAAAGATGCAGGCAGAGAAAAATTATCAATAAAGGCTACAAAACTTAAGGATGTATACAGGTCATCATAAGTTAACTACTTGCTGTATTTCAGCATGCTGTAACTAAGGGATACTCTTAAGGACAGCTGCAAACAAACTTTCATTTTCATAGCTGGTAGGAAGTCTGCCTAAAAGTGGTAGAAGTATTTTTGTGATTAGATAAATACATTTTGTTTATCTTCCTGTGTTTCTCAACTATTAAGGATAAATACATTATTAAGGAAAAGCTGCCTAAGGAATATTTCAGATGACTGCTGATGCCACTGTCAGAAAGAAAATACTGAGTGCTGTTAGTCTGAGTTGATTCCAGATTAGTATGGCACTTCTTACGTTTCTAAGTAGTTCATCTGCAAAATGGCAGAGTACATCACTTCCTGCTTTTGCACAACTGGCTCTTTCTCTGGATTCCCTTATAATGACTTAATTTCTGGCATTCTGATATCTGATTTGTTAATTTGGTTAAAATTCTTACGTTTTATAGATGGGAGAATTCTAAGAATCAGCTCAGTTTAAAGGCTTTGAATAGTTTTAAGTTTACCTTGACAATACCAAAACATTACTTCCAAACTGAAGAGTAGTATCTCAAATTTAAACTTGGTGAGGTTTTAAAGAAACATAACAGTGTAAATGACCAAAAGTGTGAGTAAACTGAATAGAAAATAATTATTGTATTTTCTGTAATAGAGATTTTGGGAGAACTATGAATGTGGCAATTAATTGAATGTGGTTTTTTTTTTTTTTTGAGACAGACCCTCAAGCTGTCTCCCTGGATAGAGTGCCCTGGCATCACAGCTCACAGCAACCTCTAACTCCTGAGCTCAAGCGAGCCTCCTGCCTCAGCTCCCAAGTAGCTGGGACCACAGGCGCCCGCCACAACGCCCAGCTATTTTTTGTTGCAGTTGTCATTGTTGTTTTTATTGGTGGGTCCGGGCTAGATTCAAACCCGCCACCTTAGGTGTATGTGGCTGGCGCCTTAGCTGCTTGAGCCACAGGCGCCGAGCCAGAATGTGTATTAATATAAAACAAGCTTTCTGTATATACCTGATATTTAGTCCCATATTATGATACTATTTCTAGTTAGTTATAGGATACCAGAAAGAATGGATACTCTTAACTAATCATAACAGTATAATTTCTTTTAAGAATTTTCTGGCTCTTAGCCAAATGGTGGTTTACCCTGTAATCCTAGCACACTGGGAGGCTGAGGCTTGTGGATTGCTTGAGCTCGGGAGTTCAAGACCAGACTGAGCAAGAGTGAGACCCATCTTTAAAAATAGCTGAGTGTTGTGATACTTCCCTGTAGTCTGAGCTACTTGGGAGGCTGAGGTAAGAGGATCGACTGAGCCCAAGAATTTGATGTTGCTGTGAGCTATGATGTTAGGGCACTCAACTGAGGGGTAACAGAGTGAGACTGTATCTCAAAAAAATTTTTTTTGTTTTCTGGTTCTTAGTAGACATGAATTCTTAGTAAATCCAGAAATTGTTGAGATTAATCTTTTTTTTTTTAATTGGGTCTGTAGAAAAAGATTTTTTATTCGGTTTTCATGTTACTTGGAAATAAATTTTGTGTTTTACATTTGGCTGATTTGTATATTAAATCATTTACCATTTTTCATTTGTATCTCTTTTTAGTTTTCAGTAATCTCTGTTGCTTATAACACTTAATTGCACTCATACTAACTTAACTATTTTATTTTATTTTTTGTCTTTTCTTCAGGAAAGATAACCTTTTAGAAGTCAGGAACTTTTTGGTATGTATTAGGTAAAATGTTCTCTAGTGAGATTGTTTAAATAAAGTGCCAGGGAACCCTGGGTGGCAGAGGCTGGTAGATTGCTTGAGCTCAGGAGTTTGAGCCCAGCTTGAGCTAGGTTAAGACCTGGTTTCTAGGCTCGGCACCTGTGGCTCAAGTGGCTAAGGCGCCAGCCACATACACCTAAGGTGGTGGGTTTAAATCCAGCACGGCCTGCCAAAACAACAATGACGGCTGCAACCAAAAAATAGCTGGGCGTTGTGGTGGGCGCCTGTAATCCCAGCTACTTGGGAGGCTGAGGCAGGAGACTCGCTTGAGCCCAGGAGTTGGAGGTTGCTGTGAGCTGT